AAACAACTGCTTTGAAGATAAAAATAAGTAATGTAATAACCATTGTTAATTTCCTATCACCTTGATTTTTAATTCTGTATCATTTTTATTGGTTTTTATTCTCTTTAAAAAATAACCTTGGAATATATGATAGTTAAGGTAATTGTATTACTAATTTTTATTAGTTCATGAAAAGAAACAGTGGTTATATTTTCTGATCAATTTTGCATACCTATAACTTCTAACTAAACAACTGCTTTGAAGATAAAAATAAGTAATGTAATAACCATTGTTAATTTCCTATCACCTTGATTTTTAATTCTGTATCATTTTTATTGGTTTGTATTCTCTTTAAAAAATAACCTTGGAATGTTAAAAAAATTCACCAACAAGTTTTAGAACTCCACTAGACCTTTGAGAGAATGGAGTTAGTGGACACATACACTCTGTTAAAACCAGAGACATCTGAATTTACTCTTGTTTTCACATACATGGGAAATTTTCGAAAGTAGATCACAAAGTAATCCGTAGGTCATGCTTAAGTATATGCTAGAAAAGGAAATTATCCCATGCATATTATCTGACCACAGTGCAAAGAAATGAAATAAATGATGAAAGAAACCAGAAAAACCCCATAAATACATGGAAATTAAACAATGCCCTCCTCAGCAATCAGTAGGTTATAGATGAAATTAAACAAGAAATTAAACAATGCAACTCAATGAAATCTCAATCATAACTTGTCAGAATTTGTGGAATGCAATGGAAGCAATTCTTAGAGGCAAATTTATAGTTCTGAACTCATACACTGGGAAAACTGAACAGGAACAAATAAATACCCTAATGCTGGCCTCAAACACCTACAATAAGGATCGCAAACAAAACCCAAGGCCCATAGAAGGTAGGAAATCATAAAGATTATAGCAGAAGTTAAATCAATCGAGATGCAGCAAACAATACAAAGAATTAATGAATCAAAAAGGTGGTCTTTAAAAGATTCAATAAAATATTTGGTCAGCACCTAGGTAACATCAAAAAGAGAAGAAAAGCTCAAATTTAAGCAGTAAGTAATGAAAAGGGCAAAATTACAACAGACCCTGGGGAAATTCAGAAGATCATCAATAGGTATTTAGAAAATCTTTACTCTCATAAAATCGAACACACAGAAGAAATGGACAGATTCTTACAAATGTAAAAATTACCAAACTTGAATCAAGAAGACATAAGAACTCTCAATAACCCAATAATAGCTAATGAAATTTAAAGTGTAATAAAAATCTTGCAGACAAAGAAAAGCTCATGTCCTAATGGATTCACGACTGAATTCTACAAGAAATTTACAGAAGATAGAATTCCAATATTCCTCAAACTCTTAAATGAAATTGGAAAGGAAACAATACTCCAGAAGTCATTCCTGGAAGGCAAGTATCATACTGAAACCAAAGCCAGAGAATGATGCAACTTAAAAAGGGATCTACAGGCCAATATCCCTCATGGGCATAGATGCAAAATCCTAAATAAAATCCTAGTAAATAGAATGCAGGAAATCATTAAAAAGATTATGCACCATGACCAGGTAGGATTCAGTCAAGTTATGTAATGATGGTTAATACGTGCAAATCTATAAATGTAATACACTACACCAATAGAGCCAAATCCAAAAACAGCACAATTATCTCAATTGATGCAGAATAAGCTTTTGACAAAGTCTGACAATCATTCATGCTCAAAGTCCTACAGAAAATCATAATAGGTGGCCTCTACCTCAATCTGATAAAAACCATCTATGACAATCCAACTGCAAACATAATTCTAAATGGAGAAAACATGAAATCTTTTACTCTTGGGTCAGGTACAAGACAAGGATGTCCTCTATCCTTGTCTACTCCTATTCAATGTAATCAGTGCAACCATTCTGGAAATCAGTGTATAGCCTCCACAAAAACTAGGACTTTAATTCCACTTTATCCAGCTATCCCTCTTGGAATTTTACCAAAAGAACTGAAAACATCCCTATCATAGTGATATATGTGTGTCCATGTTTATAGCAGCACAATTTGTGTAGCCAAATCTTGGAAGCAACCAAAATGTCCATCACCTTAAGAATGGACGAAAAAGATGTGTTTTTTAATACAATAGAGTATTACTCAGTTGTAAAGAGAAACAAACTCAAAGCCTTTGTAGGTAAGTTGATGCAACTGGAGGATATACTCATAATGAAATAAACCAGTTAAATATGGTATTGTCCCTCTAGTGTAAGTACTCAAAACAAGAAAGAAAAATTCAAAGATATTTCACAGTTAAATAGAAAGAGAAAATTTAAGGAGTAAACATTGAAGAGAAAGAAAGGAGAAGTTAGGAAATACGGTAGGGGCAAAACCATACGTTTATATAAACAAGATGGTTGAGATAATTGTCCTAAGAATTTCTGTCAGGTTTTTGAAAATAGCAGTTAATTAGTAGAACTCTCATTTTGACTAACTCTATATTCTGATATCTGATCTGTGAACTAAGCAACTGCATTGTGGACAGTAATTTGTAATACTAAAACCAAGCTTAAAATACCTGGTATTTTGGTCTTCTTAATGCATAGTGCTTCTGAAGTCATATCAATTATTGCTATACTCAAAGTAAATTTTTGTAAAAAAATTATTACAATTAAATGAGAGATAAGAAATAAAAAAGTCATAGAATTCTCCTGCTACAATGTTGCTTATGGTTTGATTTCTAGATTTCTGTGTAAAAATGTGTAATTGTTTCTAATATTATATATTGATTTAAATTTTAGAATAGCCATGGTTGTTGGAAAATACAGATGGTGATGTTAAGCATAACAACCTCTGTTACAAAGTAATAATATCATTAAGCTTCTCTTCTGGATTTTTAACAACTAAAGTTTGAAGATCAAAAATTAGGGAGTTCAATGGGCTAGAATCATAGCCAATATTTTGGCCTTAGCCCTTAAAAGTCAGTGAATACTCAGGACAGAAGAGAACATCTGCTGTGACATCCTGGAACTAAGCGGCATACCAAATTTTCTGATCAAGGAGATTATGGAGTCACAGAGGAAATTGATCGACAATGTATAGAATGCCTAAGGAGAGTCACCTAGAGAGAAAAATTTCTCTCAGGCTTTCACAGAAAGCAAATTGGTCAAGCAATGGCATTGACTCATCCAGATGGCTGACACTGACAAAATATCAAGGTGCTGTATATGGTTCCATAGTATATCCTGAAGGGATTTTACCAACCTTGTCGGATAGCAAAAGTGACATTTTTAGTTATATAGGTCTTGATTTAACTTATCTTAACTGTCCAGCAGAAAAGTGTATCCATAAGGTATTAAAAGTAAATCTATAGGGCCGGGAAGATAATTCAGTGGCTATTGTGCCTGTCTAACAAGCACAAGGTCCCAAGTTTGATCCCAGGTTCCACAAAAAAAGTAAAGCTATATTAATATGATGAACTATGAAATGCTGAAGTCAAAAACCTCTGACAATTCCCAGTTGTGCTGATAACTCACAACTGCTATAGAGTATTGGACTATGTTGGGTTATTTTTCTGAATTCAAGTATCTACTATCTTTGGTCTGGCATCAAGCATGAAAGAGTCCTTTAAATACTTCTCCAAATAGAGCTTCTCTAACTGCAATGGAACACCCATCTCTGACAAAACAAAACAAAAATGGGGTATATAAATAAAGGGCCATTTTGTTACTTTAAAAAAGTAAAATTGAAAAAGAAGATGAAACAAGGAGAACCTTTGCCCCAGCAGTTAGGAGCACTGGGGCCCAGCTGAGGAGGGAGGCAGGCGAGGTGGCAGATGGCGGGAGGCAGCGGCCAGTGCAGTCCCCAGGGCTCTCGGATGAGCCCTGCACCCACTGTGCCATGGCCCGAAGACCCTGGCACAGCATATACAGCAGTGAAGAGGATTATGAAGACATCGAGATGTGTGACCATGGTTACAATGGGCTCCTTCCCAAGTCTGAAAAGCGACATTTGGGGAAAAGTAGGTGGACCAGGGAAGAGGATGAAAAACTAAAAAAGCTGGTGGAACAGAATGAAACAGATGACTGGAAAGTTATTACCAATTATCTCCCAAATCAGACAGACATGCTGTGCCAGCACCAATGGCAGAAAGTTCTAAACCCTGAGCTCATCAAGGGTCCTTGGACCAAAGAAGATCAGAGAGTGATAGAATTTGAACAGAGATATGGTGTGAAACGTTGGTCTGTTATTGTCAAACTCTTAAAAGGGAGAATGGGAAAACAATGTAGGAAGAGGTGGCATAACCAGTTGAATCCAGAAGTTAAGAAAACCTCCTGGACAGAAGAGGAAGACAGAATTATTTACCAGGCACACAAGAGACTGGGGAACAGATGGGAAGAAATCACAGAGCTACTGCCTGGACGGACTGACAATGCTATCAAGAACCACTGGAATTCTACAATGCGTTGAAAGGTGGAACAGGCAGGTTATCTTCAGGAGTCTTCAAAAGCCAGCCAGTTGACAGTGGCTGCAAGTTTCCAGAAGAACAATCCTTTGATGGGTTTTACTCACGCACCACCTTTTCAACTCCCTCCAACTGGCCAGCCCTTGGTTAGCAATGACTATTCCTATTACCACATTTCTGAGGCACAGAATGTCTCCAGCCATGTTCCATATCCTGTAGCTTTACATGTAAATATAGTCAATATTCCTCAGCCCGCTGTGGCAGCCATTCAGAGACACTGTTATTTGAAGGCCCTGAAAAGGAAAAGTGAATAAAAGAATTAGAATTGCTCCTAATGTCCACTGAGAATGAGCTAAAAGGTCAGCAGGCAGTAGCAATACAGAACCACACATGCACCTACCCCGGGTGACACAGCACCTCTATTGCCAACCACAGCAGACCTCATGGAGATGGTGAGCCTCTTTCCTGTTTGGGAGAACACCATTCCACTCCTCTGCTGGTGGATCCCAGCTCCCGACCTGAAGAATGTGTCTCACCAGCAAGGTGCATGATCATCCACCAGGGCACCATTCTGGATAATGTTAAGAACCTCCTAGAATTTGCAGAAACATTCCAGTTTATAGATTCTGATACTTCATCATGGTGTGATTTCAGCAATTTTGAATTCTCTGACAAAGCAGCTTTTGCACCTAGCCAGCATCACTCAGGAGTGAATAAACACTTGTTGGGTGAGGGTTCACTTGACTCACCCAAGGTCTTGTCTCCTTCAAGGCCCAGTGCAATTCCACTGGTCATTCTTCAAAACAAACAGGGCCAGGCCAGTCCCTTAGCTATTGGGAGGCTCCAGCTGCTTCTTCTTTGCTGAAGCCAGCAGCGCAGCTCCCAAGCCTTCCTCTGTCAAAAGCCTGCCCTTCTCTTCCTTGCAGTTCAGAAACACCTCTAGTAACCATGAAAACTTAGACTTGGATTGTGTATTCCTTAACTTCTCCCCCTCTCAATGGTCACAAACTGACTATTACAACACCATTCCATAGGGAGCAAATTGTGAAAATCCAAAAGGAAAACACCATTTTTAGAACTCCAACTATCAAAAGATCAATCCTAGAAAACTCTCCTAGAACTCCTCCTCCACTTAAACATGCACTTGTGGCTCAAGAAATTAAATGTGGTCCCCTGAAGATGCTACCTCAGACACCCACTCACCTAGTAGAAGACCTACAGGATGTGATCAAACAAGAATCTGATGAATCTGGCATTGTTGCTGAATTTCAAGAAAACAGACCCACCCCCCTTACTGAAGAAAATCAAACAAGAAGGGGAATCTACAACTGATAAGGTGGGAAAAATTTTCTGCTCAAGCCACTGGGAAGGGGAGAATCTGAAGACTCAACTGTTCATACAGGCGTCACAGATGGTGAGCTCCCCAAATATTGTTATGAGTTCTGTTTTAATGATGCCAGTATCAAAAGATGAAGACAGTGTTCTGAAAGCATTTACAGTACCTAAACACAGGTTTCTGGTGAACCCTTTTCAGCCTTGAAGTGGTGCCTGGGAACCCATCCTGTGGGAAGACAGATGACCAGATGACAGTTTCTTCTCAGATTCATAAATATATGAATGCATTCTCTGCCTGGACTCTGGTCATGTGAGACATTTCCAGAAAAACATTATGGTCCTCAGAACACTTCAGGTTGACTTGGGATATATCATTCCTCAACATGAAAACTTTCCAGGATTGGGAGAAGAACCTATTTTTGTTGTGGTACAATAGTTGAGAGCAGCAACAAGTGTATTTAATTGGATGTAATATTATTGGATTTCACTTAAGTAAAAAGAATTTTTAAGAATAAATAGCAGTCTTACCTAAATTATTAGTTAATGAATTTTGTAACCAGTTAATATGTTAAAGCAGACTTTTTTAAAAAAAATAGAAAATGATTTATCTGTATCTTATTTATTTATTTATTTATTTATTTATTTATTTTTCAGAACCGGGGATTGAACTCAGGCCCTTGCCATTGCCAGGGAAGCACTTATTCAACTGAGCCATCTCCCTGGCCCCTTTATCTGTATTTTAGAGAGGCCAACTGATCAGTATTTTTTCCTTTGTTGTTTTAAAAAAAATTACATGAAAAGGTACTCTAGTATTCTACTTAACTCAATCACTAAACATAGGTGCAGATTTTTACACATCAATAAAAGCATTACTATAATCATTGACTAAACACCTGGAACAATTAAGTGAGATTGTAAATGCTCATTTAAGGTTGGTGATATTGGAGGTACATTTGTTGTACTAAACCACTGTATGAGTCTTTTGCTAGCTTGCTTTAAAAGTTATTACTGTATGAAATAGTTTTATAAAAATTATATCTTTATTCAGCAATTTAATTTTGTAAGTGTCAAATAAAAACTGTCTTTTGTTGCTACAGTCTTAGCCTGTAGACATGCTGCTAGTGTCAGAGGGGCAGTAGAGCTTGAATGGAAAGAGAAGAAACTTGGGGCTAATTGTGTATGCACTAGTATCTCAGACTTTTTTATTTTTAAAAAAATATACAGTATTTTTCCTTTTTTAATACATTGCAAAAGTTCTTTGGGAGAATTTGCCTTTGTTGTTATGTGTTTTTGTTTTTTTGTTCCTTTTTGTTGTTGTTGATTTACAAAGCATGCATTGCACTTCTTTTTTTTGGTGGTGGGATCTGTGTTGTTTATGTCCTATGTTTTATTTGAGTTCAGCCTGACTGTACTTTAATTCAGGGGTTCTGAGTATGATCAGCACAACAGCCTCATGAGTCTGGTGTTTGCAGCTGAGGAGAGAGAGTCAAGTCCTGTGTTTGCCTCTGGGAAAAGACAAGTACTGAGATGAATAGTGAGTTTCTGCCATAAGAACATTTGGCACAGGATGGCCAGCACTAAACCTTTGATGACAGTGTACTTACTGCCTTGTAGCAAAATAAAGCTGTGCTCTTATTTTACTTAAAAAAGAAAAGTAAACAAATTGAAGCATTAACTGCTTCTTTCTATAAATCAGTGGAAATGCACAGTACAGTTGTTCAAACCACCCTGCTTACATACATAGATAAATCTCTTCCCCCCCAACTCCATCTCCTGTCCTCCTCAATTCAGTAACTCTTTTCTTTTGAATCGGTTCATTCCCTATTCCCAGTATCTATTGTATCCTTCAAATTTGATTCCCACAGGAGTTTGAATTCCCAGAGTTCCAACAAATCTACCACCTATTAATGAGTGGTTCACATCTTTTTAAGAGACAAAAAAATAGTATGTATAATTATGTCCAGACTATCACTGTGTATCAAAAACAGATGCTCAATTTTGAATGATCCTTTGAATGTGATCCTCCTTTAGAAAAGGTGAGTGAAAATATTATAGAAAGATCATTCATTACAAGTTTAATATACTGAGTATGATATTTTTATTATTTCCTTGTTGGCTAAAAGGAAATCCCAATTTTTTAGCTTTGGTGATACCAAATCCTCTCATTAAATGTTACATAGTCATATTTTCCAGTGAACAGAAATTAACAATTTCAGTAAAATTTGAAAGAAAATATACTTTCAAAATCATACTGTAAAATAAAATTTGCCATTTGATTGTAAGCAAATGCAAGTAAGAAAGATGATCAAGATGATTAATCCTGATGATCAAGATAACTCATACCAATATTGAAGTTAATACAGAAGCTGATAGCTGATAAGTTTTTGCAGACTTGGGGTATTCAAGTTTGAGAGGTTAACTGAACATGCAAATAAGCTTTTATTAACAACAAAATAAAGAGCTGGAGGAAAAGAGAATTAGTGACAAAGCTAAGGCCATAAGCACAAATGAGAGCTTAAGGTAGAAAGGGGCAATTCTTTAGAAGATGTTCATGTTCAAAGGAATGAAGAAAATATAAATAATTCAGGAACCTAGTACAAAATGAATGGCAATCTTCCAAATACATAAAGCAATTAAAAGTATGATTTCAAGGACAGGATTTAAATGACATTTTTTCCAAAGTTTCCTTTGTTTTTTAGCTCAGTAGTTCACTATGTTGTTGAACTCATGTAGCCTAGGTTGGCCTGGAATTCCTCTTGCTCAGTTTCCAGTGTGCTGGGATTATAGGTATGCATTAGTATACCTGGATAAGGACAAAACTTTTAGAAAGTGTAGATGTAGAAAAATTACAAACTACATTTGATCTGATGTGAATTATGTCCTTCAATATCCCTGAAAGAAAAATATTTGAGCTCCAGGACAGGTTATATAGTATTAGAAAAATTTAAAAATATTGAATTAAAGATAATTTTAATTTGTGGTAAATATAAAAGATTAAATTATTCAAGTTTTATTAAATATATTTCATATGCTATGAAATCACCTGGTTAGGGCACACGTTTTAGTGACTAGAGTTATATTTATGTAGAAGTGTACCATTACCACAATCTTACTTCTAAACACCTTTCTCATCACAAAAATCTGCCCATGATGACTAACTTTCTTAGAACTTTCATATAACCATAATTACACAAGTGATACTTAGATTCAAACTTCTAAAAAGAATATTTTGATATTAAGTTCTGTTTCAGTGTACATATGCATAATAGTTGCAAAGCAAAATCAGTATGAAGATTTTATTTATTTGATTCAACTGGTTATAAAAAGGAGAAGCCAATATTTGCTCATTATTTACCAATTATTTTTGTATTCAATAATATGAATTGTGTACTCATATAGAAAAGTAGAAATGGTCACACTCAGAATTCAAAGAAAAATCTTCATTCATTCCTTTCCTAATAGGTATTCATAGTGAAAAATTTCAAACTTGTAATTTGGATTTGCTTGAAGGACTATAGTTCAGTACATGCTTGTTTCATCCTCAAGACTATGTCCACCTAGAAACTTAGACTGACATCATCTCAGCCAATACTTACACTCATCACAACTCTTTACTTAACTATTTTAGTCTTGATTTCCAATTTTTATATAATACATGAAATAAAGGATTGTTTCAATTCTAATTTCTGCAGAGTTCATGATAAACTATTGGGTAAATAATTATATTGAAATCTGCAATTCATTAATCAAGGGGAAGAAAAATTGTCTTAGTAATAGAATTTCTATGAAAACTACAGAATTTACATTTCATTCCTATTGTCTTTGTCACTCATAATATAAGAACACTCATATTACATGTAAGACTAATGAAATTCTTTCAGAAAGTATGTTTGGCAAAGGGAGAGAAAAGGGCAATGAAAACATCAACATAGATAAAAGTAAGATTTTTTTCCTGAAATAAATGGTCAAAATAAAGCCTGTTTATAATTTTATATCTTGATTTATTAACCACGTTTTTATGCTAGTATATCACAGGTCATAAAGTTTTGTGTGAAACCCCTCCAATAAGCCATCCACAAATTATAGCTGGAATCATCAACACATCTATGATTTTGTTGACTTTTGTCATTTCTACATTATATCTCAGTACTGAAATTTTCAAGCAAGTGTTAAAAGCATAATTTTTTCTTGCTCACATTGTGAGACTGTTACAAGAGCCTGCACAACAGGCATACAGCGTGGCTGTGTCTGCTCCCCTCCTGAGGGATATAGACTCTTCTTCAGGGCCAGCCCATTTTGTCTTTTTATTTTCCCTCAAATTGGTAAGCACTGTACACATTCAAAATACAAAGGATAAGAACATGAGAAGGAATAAACAATGAAGATGAGGGGAAGGAAAAAAACAGCAAAAAAAGGAAGGGAGAAAAATCATACAAGTATATAGTAGGATAACTCAGATGACTGTAGTACTATTTTTGATCAGTGATTTTTAAATAGAAGTTAATGTTTAAATTTTTCACTTTGACTGATTGTGTACACTAATGTCTGTAATCTGAGCAACTACATCAAAGACAGCAATGTGAAGTACAAAAATCACAGTTGAATACCTCTCATCTTGTTCTATTGTGTACTGTTTCTAATATCTTATAAATTATTATACTGTTTTTAAAATAAACAAAAAAACTAAAAAGGACAAGAAAAAATTATTGATCAATAATAAGAAATTATTGAAAGCAAGCTCTAATATTTAATTATTTGACCTATCTTGCATATCTACATCTGTTAATCTGAGCAATGGTTTTGATGATGAAAATACATACTATTACAAGCACTGTAAACTTTTAAGGCTTGTTTTTAAAATTACATACAGTATGTATTGTTGTGTGTCATTTGGTTTCTTTTCTTGTTTTCACTATTTGATTTTTGTTGTTTTATGTATTTAGCACAGGGTTTCACTATGTAGATTGAACTCGTAGTGATTTTCCTGTTTTTCAGCCTGCCAAATGCTGGGATTACAGGTGCGCACCACCATGCCCAGTCTCACTGGTCCTCTTAGTGAGCCCCAGGGGTGGGGCTGACCCAGCAGGCCAGGGATCAAATCCCAGAGCCCTGTGTCTGCCTAAGCTGGCACTTTAATCCATGGAGCTATCTGGTCTACCATTTGTTTTTGTTTTTACTCTTCAACATAAAATTTAAAAAAAGAAAATGAGTGAGAAACTTTCTATAATTAGTTAAAGATCTTTTCAGGAAACTGAGTAGGTGTGAAAACAGTCACTGGTCAAATTAAAATAAAATAAATAAAATAAAAAAAGAA